TTTATGAGACACTTACCATCTTTTAAGCATTGGCAACAGATTTAAATTTATTCTAGAGTCTAGATTTCCAATATGTAGCCAGATTATATCGATAACCTACAGGAAGTTTGCCTTCGGTAAATTGTATTTTATCTATTAATTGAGAAGTAGTCAAAACCTTTAGAACAGAAGCAACCATGAACATTCTAGTCAGGCAAAGGCTTTCTAAGATATGTAATTCTTACCGAGAAGTCCAGCGGGCGAAAATGATGTGAGCTGGCGAAAATGATGTGAAAAGAAGTGGGGAGGAAAAGCTCTTCCAAATGGTGTTGAAACAAGTTATCCTAGCAGCTCTGTTCAGGATAATGGGTTCGTATAGACCAATAAAAAAGCTACCGAGTATGCTAACTTATGACATCTAAAAAATAATTAGCAACACTCAGTAGCATATCAAATAAATTATGATGCAATCCTATCATAAAATATTATGCAACCATTAAAACTAACAGTGAGAAGGAGAAGCTTGCAAACACCAAGAGCATCACAATCACCCATGGAGCTTGTCAGCTATACTCCAGTCCAGGCTTCATACCAGTGCGCTAAAGCAGAGTCTCCACACATGGAGTTGCAGCATCTGCACATTTCACAACCTCCCAGGGGATTCTAATGCACCAACTGAACTGGGAAAACTCTTCAAAATCAAAGCCAGTTATGAAACACTGTGCATGGTATTGTGTTTTATTTGGATTTGATTCCTCCACATATGAAAGAGACACACACCCCTGGCACATGAACATGTACACAAGTAACAGTAGCTGAAACAAATTAAAAACGCATTTCGCAGGTAAATGAAGCCCAGAAGTAGGCAGTCCTGTTGACAGTGCCACAAAGAAGTTGGGGGCCTGAGCTACTTCCATCTCACCACCCAACCATATGTAGAGTATAACTTCATTCTCATAGTTCAAAATGGCAGCTAAAGCTCCACCCATCACATCTTCGTAAGCAAGGAAGGGAGGGGTAAAAAGAAGGATCAAATGGCTATGTCAATGCGATTTCCCAGAAGTTACATCACAACATTTCATTGACATTGTGAGAATGTAGTGGTCTAGCCATGTCTAGCAACAAAGGCAGCTGGAAAAAAAGTCTTCTTCCAGGAGGCCATGCACTCAGTTGCAAATCAGAAATTCTGCTACTAACAGAATTTGAGACAACCAATGTTGGGTACACAAAAAGCAATCTCTACTGGAAGTATAATATTAATATGGTGAATCATACTGATTTGAACCACATGAAATTAACATTTTTAAGTTAAAATAGGTAAATATCAGCAGCTCATATGATTCTATTATATTTCTGTGGAAAAATCTGAAGTGATATATAGTATATATGTGACTACTGTTTATCTCTGGGTGGTGGGATCTCAGGTAGCCAGGTATTAATTCTGTTATTTTCAAAAATAATGATCATAGTATGTACCCAAAAAGGGAGATCGAAAAAAACATGTAAATTAAAATCATTTTTATAAAATATATTAATATAACTTGTGCTTATATATATATGGGGTATATATATATATACACACACACACACACACAGGCATACACAGACATACACAGACACAAAGAAAAAAGAGTTTTGGTATATTTATCAATCAAAATATTATTTCTGGTGGTGCCTGGCTGGCTCAGTCATTAGAGCATATAATTCTTGATCTTGGAGTTCTAAGTTCAAGTCTCACATTGGGGGTAGAGTTTACTTTTTTTAAAATGTTATTTTTGGGTACTGGATTATACATGGATGGAATATACTGGATATATTCTTCCTTATATTTTCTGTATTTTTTTCCAAATTTCTAACAGTGAACTTGCCATGCTTGTACAATAGGAAAAACAAATATAGAAAGAAAAAAAAACACTGTAGTCATGGGTACATACAAGAGAAGGTATGGGCTGGACATAGTAGCAAATGTTTAAAATGGAGCTGATGGGGCACCTGGGTGGCTCAGTGGTTGAGTGTCGGCCTTTGGCTCAGGTCATGATCCCAAGGTCCTGGGATCGAGTCCCCACATCGGGCTCCCCACAGGGAGACTGCTTCTCCCTCTGCCTGTGTCTCTGCCTCTCTCTGTCTCACTCATGAATAAATAAATAAAATCTTAAAAAAAAAAAGGAGCTGATGGAAACATACATAAATTCATTCAACAATGAAAAAATGTATTGAGACCCCTGGGTACCAGACCCTGTCCTAGACTTTGGGGATATAGGGTTAATTAAAATAAGCCAGGTCTATGCTCTCCTGGAGCTCACAGTCTGGTGAGGAAATAGATAATAACCAAGTAGAAATTTTTAAAAATATAAGAATAGCAGGGATTTGTTGCCTAGTTATATGAGCTAGCACTGTTGTAAGCACGTTATACACATTTCCTGGCTTCCTCTGAAAAATAATTTAATGAAGTAGCTACTATCATCTTGACTTACAGAAAATTGAGACAGAGCAGTTGCCTAAGTTCACCCAACTAGTCACAGTGTAGCAGCTCCAGGATTTATATGGTGGTAGGACAGGCTGACTCTAGAACCTACAGACTTAACCACCAATTGGTTAAGATCTGGGCTTACATCTCAATAAGAATTACCTGAGGCACTTGGGAAATATATGCAAATTACCAGGTCTTGCTCTAGGAAACTGGGACTTGAGAATTTGGTCTTTCAAGCCTTCTAGGTGTTTCTTCTCTTCTGGTTAATATGAAGACTGCTACTCTCAACACAAGGAATCCGTGGCAACAGAAGTCAGAGGGGTGTTCACCTGGGCTTGGGGAACTGGAGTAGACTGACAAAGGATCATGAGGCTGGAAACGTTTTGCATCTTGATCCAGGGGGGGCTTACCCAGGTGTGCACATGTGTGAACATTTATCAAGCATTCAAAAATCAACATTGCCCTAAGCTGCAGTGCCTTTCTGGATCATGTTAGCTAGGGAGAGTGCCAAGAGGAGTTAGATATGGGACAGGAAAAAAATTACCCGAGGAAGGTGACATTCCATTTGGCCTCGGGCGACAGAAAGAATCCAGTCCTGCAGAAGACCAGGAAAAGCAATCCAGGCAGAGGGAGGAGCAGATGAAGAGCCCTGGGGGCAACTTCAAGAAAGCAGGTAGCACTGTTGTGAACAAAGCAAGAGGGAAGCATGTGCGATGGGATGGTGGGTAATGGCCAATTCACATTCAGCTCATTCCTGTCTCAGGGCTCTTGCTCCTGCCAACCCTTCAGGCTGGAATTGCATTCCCATCCCCCCCACCTCCAAATATTACCTGCTCTCTGATTATTATCTATTCAGAGATAATTCAGAGAAGTCTTCCTTGACCATTCCTGCAGCCATGATCACAACCTTGTTTTAGGTCTTTTAAGACATCATCACTATTAAGAAATCACAGTGCGGGGCACCTGGGTGGCTCAGTCTGTTAGGTGTCTGACTTCGCTTAGGTCATCATCTCAGGGTCCTGAGATCTGGAGCCCTGCTTCAGGCTGGCCCGTTCAGCAGGGAGTCTGCATGTTTCCCACTGCTGCTCTCCCTGCTTGTATACCCCCTTGCTCTCTCTCAAATAAATAAATAAAATCAGAAAGAAAGAAAGAAAGAAAGAAAGAAAGAAAGAAAGAAAGAAAGAAGAAAGAAAGAAAGAAAGAAAGAAAGAAAGAAAGAAAAAGAAATCACACTGTTGATTTGACTATTTAGTGTTGACTGAATCACTAGCCACTAGCCAAGTTCTATTAGAGAAGGTACCAAATCATATGGATCACCCTTGTGCCTCCAGGCACCAGCACGGTGTCTGGCACATTTGGAACTCTTTAATATATAAATAATTGTTGGAGGAATGAACAAACCCTTAAAGGAGGCAGCAGGGAATATACAGTCATGTTTACTGAGAGCCTACTATATGCCAGGCACTAGGCCAAGTGGCTGGGGATAGATCAGTGAAGCAAAGAGATTTAAAAAAAAAAAAATACATACATTTTGAATGTGTAAGGGGGGGGACAGGTAATACACAAGTAAATTATCTATCTCATAGATAAATAGATCTATCACCTGTCTCATATCTATCTCATAGATCAATGGATCGATTGATCCATAGACAGACATACTCTCTAGATAAAAAAAACGTTCAATGTATCAAGTTCTAAGAAGAAAGAAAAGGCAGACCAGAGAGAGACAGGGAGGGTGGGGGAAGAGGGAGTTTTACTATTAAGAAGGGCTCTTAAGGGCCCGAGACGGGCCTCTCCAAGAACAGTGAATTTGAATTGAGCAAGGACTGGAGATCGCCGCAGGGTGGCAGGTGGAGTCAGAGGGGACAGCCCCGCAGGAGACTCGAGGCCGGAGGGAGTCTGAGTAAAGGGGAGTCTGAGTTGCAGGAGGTGGGGTCGGCCGCGTAGACACAGATCAGCGGGGACAGCGTCGACGCACCGACACCTGCAAACTTGGAAATGCTCGTTCTCGGGCCTCGGAGTCAGACATTCTGGGGGGGAGGGGGGACGAGCCCTCGGGGTGCCGGCGCGCGGCCAGGTGGGCCTCGGGCGTCTGGTCCCCGTCGTTACTCCGGGATGCACGTGATCCCTGTCCTCTTTATCTCCCTAGCAGGGCCGGGGACCCGCCCAGCGCTCCGCTGATTTGCCCGCCGCGGATGCTCAGCTGGGGTTTCTCCCAAGCCCGGCGCCCCCGCCTTCCCCCCACCCCCCACCAGCCGCAGCTCGGCGCGGTCCCCCACCCCCACCCCCGGGCAGAGCATCCCGGCCACCGGGCAGCGGCGCCTTGGGGACCAGCCTCCCAGGGCGGCAGGTGCAAAGGCGCCCGAGCCGGGGAGGCCAGGCGCGCGGGCCACGGCCGCGGGGTGGGGGTGGGGGTGGGGGGCGCCGGCTGCCGCGGCCCGGGGTTGGGGCGCATCCCTCGCCGCCCGCGGTCGCCCCGCCCGCCGGGACGTCTGCGCGCGGTCGGGATCCCGGGGGACCCGGCGGTCCGGGGCCTCGGGATTGGCCCGCAGCTTGCCCCCGGGAGCCGCCGCTGCAAAGCCAGGCTGGGGCTGCCGGGCCCGGCCAGCGCCCTCTAGGCAGCGGAAGTGGAGCTTGCTTTACATCCGTCCTCCCCGCCTGGCGGAGTTGGGAGAAGGCAGGCTGGGGGGTGTGGAAAAATAAAAGGAAAAGTCCCTGCACCATGTAGATCAGCGCCCCGCAGCCTGGCACCCCGGCCGGCCGGGGGCCTCCCAGTCTGCGGCCATGAACGCGAGCAGCGAGGGCGACGGCTTCCCGGGCTCGGTGCAAAGTAAGTGCTTTTCCGGGCGCAGTGCGCGCTCCGGGGCCCGGGCCCAAGCACGTCTGCGACGCAGCGAGCAGGCCCGGGGCCCCGAAATCGGGGTGACGGCCCCGCGCCGGCGTCCCGGGCACCGCGGAGGGCGCGCCGTGCAGGGGGCGCGCGGAGTGGGCTCGGCTTCGGGGCACCCAGCCCCGCGCGAGGCGGGGGGCGCTCTCCAGCCTCCAGGACCCCTTGCAAGGGAACGGGGAGGGGGGGAGGAGGAGGAGGAGGAGGAGGGCACGCCGTTCAGACAATCGCCACCCCCTCGGGGCATTCCCCGCCTCCCCCCTTCCAGGCGGAGTTTGGGGGGGCGGTTGGGGGGTAGCCGCGATTACGCGGATGGGAAAGCTTCTGCCTCGGTGGCTCGAAATCCTTGAAGTGTGGGGATCCGAGGGTTTCGTGAGGTCTGGCGGGCTGGGCTTGCCCTGGAAAGCCTTTTGCACATTAAAGGTGGAGATCTGAATGGGGAATGGGGCGGTGGTCGCTTTCTTTGAGTTTGGGATTCGTCGTAATTTCCCTGGTGGGGACAGCAGCCTTGTCCAAGTACCTGATTTCGCCCGCCGCATTGTTTCCCCCAAAGTGTGGTCCAGAGACCGAGCGCAGACCAGCCACCTGGGAGCGCGAGCGCTTGTTTAAAAAAAAGAAAAAGAAAGAAAGAAAAGAAAGGAAAGGAAAAAGGAAAAAGCTCCCCAGGCCCCACCCATTAGATGGGGGACGTGGGGGGAGGGGATCTGTGGCCAGACCCTGAGCCATTCGGTTGCACACAGTTTGAGAACGCACCCCTGGCAGGGGGGTTTGCAGACCCCTGGCACATGGTAAGCGCTCAGCTTGTTAGCTGTTTTGGAGACATTGCCTCCCAAACTTAGTTGGGTTTCCCTTGCAGAAGTTGTGGAAAGCACAGATTTCTCTAAACACCAGCCCCTTCTGCATCCTACCTCCATCAGGACTCAGTATCCCCGAAGTGGGACTTAGGTGTGGCCTCAGATATGTCCGTGTTTCACGCATACACACACACGCACCCTGATTTTTTATGATGTTGTTACAGGTTTGGAGAACATAGTGAAGATAAAGGAATTCTCTCTTGTTGCTGTTGAGCTCTTACCTGTACCCAGTGTTTTCTGTTTGGTCTGTTAATTCTCACTACAAATGCAGGAGGTTAGGTATATTCTCACCATTCCAAATTTTCGGAGGGGGATGTCACAATCAAATAGGATGTCTCCGGAATAACCCCACCAGGTATCATGCTGGGGCATGGCCCCCCCCCCCCCCGTGCTGGCTTTTTACAAGCACAATCTTACGTAATCCTCTTAACGGTCCTGTGAAACAGAATTTATACCCATTTTACAGATGGGAGAGACCAAGTCCGAGTCATGGTTTGTAAATTGTAGTGTCAGGGTTCTAAAGAAAGTCTAGGTCGTTACTTGTGTGTCTGCCACATGCTGGAGGCATTGGTTATTAAAACCCTTTCATACTGGGTATCAGTCTTGTTAGATCACTAAGGAATCCTCATCAATGCCAGTCACCTCATCTCCTGGTTCCTTATTTTCCTGTTAGTCCCATGGGCGCCTCAGCTCCAGGGAAGCAGTGTTTCAGGGGAACAGAAAAGCCTTCATTCCTTCCATTCATTGATTTCGATGTACTTAGGGGGCAGGGCGCTCTGCAGAACAGCTTATAAAACATTACAACAGAGCCCAGACTAGCTCTCCTTAGCAAGTCAACCAGATTGTGTTCCCACAGCGATTTCTTGTCTTAGCTTGACTTGGGGAAAATTGAACATAATATTTATAAATTTCAGAAAGTTATGCTTCATATATATACCAACTATATATATGCACAAAGGTAGTTCTCATGTGATGTAGACCTGAGGAAAATTAGAAACAATATAAAGACCCTATAAGTACTGAGATTATGATGCATAGTAACATAGAATAGTGTGTTTTAGGTGATCACATATGTTTTTAAGGATTTATTTGAGAAAGGAAGAGAGAGAGTTGGGGGTAGGGGGGACAAAGAGAAAATCTCAAGCAGACTCCTCACTGAGCTCCATCCCACCACCCATGACATCATGACCTTAGCAAAACCCAAGAGTCTGGTACTTACCCTACTGAGCCACTCAGGCGCTTATTATACTTTAAATAATTATACTTGTAAAAATTTTAGTGATCTAGGCACAGTGCTTATGCAATATTATGTGGGGAAAAGACTAATTTTACAGTACATTATGATCTTAAAATTTTTAAGCATAAAGAGAATGAAAGAAAATATTTTGTAATGTTCATGGTACACATAGGTGGAAGGATTGTGAGTGATTTTCCCTCTGCTTCTTCCAGATTCACTGTTATAAGCATGAGTTTCCTTATCATAAGGCAAAGAAACTTTTAAAAATAAAAATTAAAAAAAATAAAAATAAAAAAAATTAAAAATAAAATTAAGGTAGTCCTATTAGAGACTTATTAATTGATTGAATTTCTTCATTTAACCAACATTTACATAGCACTAATACAGTGCCAGATATTGTGGTGAGTGCTTTGCAAATGTTAACACAGTATTAACGCTTGGCATCATTACTGTTGAGAAACAATGTCACTAAACGTTAGGAATGAACTTTGACGACAAGTAACAAACTGAACTATATACCAGCCTAATGAGAAGTCTGAAATTAGTTGATTCAGGGGTTCGATGGGGTTAGGGATCAGCATATGTAGGTATCTTAGCATTTTCCCCATAGTAAGAACATGGTTGTAGAACCTCCTGGCATCTCATCTGCATTCCAGGCCAAAAGAAGAGGGAACCAGTGCCAATCACGTCTGATCCCTTTTTATCATGGAAGCCAAACTTCCCAGAAGTTCCCAAGCATGTAAGGGACCAAGATTATTACTGAGTAGTTTTCATGGGGTGGGGGTGGGGATGGGGGTGAGGGTATAAAAGTGGAGGGATTGGTTTTCATAAGGACTGGGAAGTACAACTACCTTTTGTTGGGATAGGACATGGCTACTGGTCCTTCAAAGTGCAAGCAACGTTGCACATCAAAAAGATTCCTTGCATGAAATGCCACTCACACCCCACTGGCCATCACTTGGGTCTGAGAGAGAAGTGGGGAGTAGAATGGACATCTGGTGCTGCTAAGAGAGAAGAGGGGAGTAGAATGGACATCCGGCCAGCAACTAGCCATCTCTGCCACAGTGCCCTTTTTTTCTAACATGAGTCTGGTTTGTGTTGTTAGGTCGAGCTGTTTGGAATTAATTAATTAATCTGTGACTTCCGCTTTGTCCCATGGAGTTCCAGGTGGTACAACAGTGCTGGTTGAGCTTACTCCTGACATCCACATCTGTGGCCTCTGCAAGCAGCAGTTTAACAACCTGGATGCCTTTGTAGCCCACAAGCAGAGTGGCTGCCAGCTGACCAGCACGTCCGGGGCAGCCCCCAGCACAGTCCAGTTTGTATCTGAAGAAACAGTGCCTGCCACCCAAACTCAGACCACCACCAGAACCATCACCTCAGAGACCCAAACGATCACAGGTACAGCCCGGAGGGGGGGGAGAGATGGTGAGAATAGGCCTGGTTATGTCCCAAACACCTCCGTGGAGCTTATTAAAAATATAGATTCCCAGGGTCCACCCCGTAGGGTTGCTGATTCATTATTTTTAACAAGCTCCACTGGGAAGCCAGCTGCCCAGCCAGGTTTGGGAATTGCTGGGTGAAAACATGAGCTGTTAGCAGTTATAGATGTTGTCACATGTTAAAACAGACAAAAAACAGAGTTCTCAAGCAAAAACCTATATATATATATATATATATATATATATATATATACACACACACTAATAAAAAAATACTTGTGGGAAATACGTTGCATTAAAAAAAAGTAATTATTCTGGGTAGTGGGAGTATGGGTATGATCCCCAAATTTGCATTATTTTTATAAAGGGACAAAAAACATGGGGTGTGCTTTTGTTTTTGCTTTTTTTGTTTTTTTTTTTAATTTACCAACAGGCATGGTTACCCCCCGACCCCCTGTGCTGCCAGCCAGGAAAATAGAAAACTTCATCCTAGATCTTGGTTGTATTCATTTACTCCACCAAAAATAATTTACAGATGGATCCAAAATTTAAATGTGTGCAGTGAAACCATAAAAGTTCTAGAGTAAATATTAGATGCAGACACACACTTACATACACACGCTCACACTAACCCATACCTATACCTACACCTGTAGAATCTGTCTCAAGGGAGGAGACAGACAACTTTAAAAATATGAAGTCACCCATTTATGAGATAGATGGCGCAGACACTGCTGGATCCTGTGGGAAACAGAATTATCCCTTAGCTAAAGGCTTTCAGATTTTTAAATTAAAATATATGGGGCTCCCGGCTGACTCAGTTGGTGGAACATGTGACTCTAGATCTTGGGGTTGTGAGTTTGAGCCCCACATTGCATGTAGAGATTACTTAAAAATAAAGTCTTTAAGAAATAATTTTCTATGTATATCTCAATACTATGCCTACCAAAGAAGACAGGCCAGGCCCCCTCTAGCAAAAGAAAAAGAATCTTGTATGTGGCTACAAATAGTGTTACAATTTTTCCAAAGTAAAAACAATGTATAAAACTAAACACCAGCAACTGGGGGGAAAAAACTGCAGCACAGATGTCTAAGGTTTAATGTCCTTTATATATAAAGAACTCCTAAAATCAATAAAAGTACAGAAAAAGAACCCAGTGAAAAAGTCCTCAAAGGGCAGCAGATGATATATAAAGGAGGCCACTGAAGAGAAAAGGATGCTCCGTCACCGTAGTAATTAAATTAATGCAAGTCAAAGGAAGGCTTGGGACAGGACACTGCTTTCCTTTTCTGGGGATGTAAATTCCTATAACCTGAGCAATTTTGTGATATCTTTTAAAATTAAGTTGTTAAATTTAAGTTAAATTTAATTTAACAACTTAAATTTAAAATCTTTCAAGTTTAAAACTGTAGACCCATTTACTTAGTAAATCCACTTCTCGCTATTTATCCCGTAAAATATTATAAACAGATGTATAAGGGTATTCCTTTCCAGTATATGCTATAAAGAAAGTGGAACCTTTGTGTACATCAAGAGAAAATTAGATGAATAAACCTCAGATATTCAGACTATGAAATATGACCTAACCTTTAAAAAGGGACCCCGATCTTTATACAGATACAGAAAGATCCTCAGGAGAAGTGCAAAAAACCGCACGTATGCATGCACACATAGTATTATATTCAAGACAAGCTTCTAGAACAGGAACAAGGCAGGTAATGTTAACGAAAGAAGTAAGCTGTGTGTAAGGTAATGGGGATGGGTGGGGACTTTGGTTAAGTAGAGTAAGCATGCATGACTTGGGACAGCTGCCCTTTGGATACAATCAGCTACTTGGGTTTTTCAGAGAAGCTGAAAACTGTAAAATTTCCCCAATTTTTTTTTTTTAAATTTCCCAAATTTTAAAACTCTGTTGGTCAAACGAAATATATCAATAAGCCTGACTGGACCCACAGGCCTTTCCCAGACTTTTCTCCGACAGTGTTTAGTAGACAGTTAATCTGGAGCCAAAGAGTGAAAAGAACATCGAACGTGGGGGCACGGACTTTTATCTCCTTGATTTTGTGCTGGTGTGGTGTTTGAGTTTTTTGACAATAAGCAAAGTTTCGTGGTTGTCTCCTTAATGCATCCAAACTAATGCTTCTGCTGAGTTTTTTAAATATTGCAATATAATTACCTCCCAAGCCTTAAGAAAGGCACCTCCCACTTTTCTCCTGACTTTATCTTAAATATCATCCCAGAGGGAGTCACCAAGAAAGCGTGAAAACTAAAAGCCACCTTAGCAGTGGGCCTGGGTACAACTTTCCTATTTTACCTCTGGACAAAGGGAAGCTGCAGGTGGGGAGGAGACAGGGCCAGTGCGCCACCACAGGTTAGGACGGTCGGGGGACTTACCCATTTTGGACTTTACCCTAGTGGTCATCTCCCTGTTCAGGGTCCTCAACATCAGACTCCCAGTAACCCCGCGCACTCGGCATGAAACCTCTCAAACGATGCCTCAGGGTCAGGAGGCTTCAAGGCCCACACTTTATTTGTGGCCAAAGCACCTTCCTGGGTTCTGAGCCTCTGCTTACACTGTCCCCTCTGCCTGAAATACTTTTCCCGGCTTTCCCTGGCATGAGGGTGGACACACAGAGGGTCTCATTTCATCTCCGGATACTCCCCTTTGCTCTATATGGCAGCAGCCAAGATGAAGTGCTCTACCTAACAAATGAGCCACGTCGCTTTGCCCCAGAAGCTGTGTATGTGTCATTCCATCTGCCTGGAACTGACTCTTTCATGGACATCAGAGCTGAACTTAAAGGCGTCTCCTTAGAGACCCCTTCCGTGACCCCACACACACACACTGTTCCCCCAGGCCAGCTCAGGTCCCTATAAATAAACCATCACTAGGCCGTAAGCACCCTGAGGTCAGGCCTGCACCCCTCGTGTCCACCCTGGATCCCTAGTGCGGGTCTTTGTGCAGGGAATGAGCCACTGGCCCCATCCCCGTCCATCGGTAAAGCTGACCCCACACCCACATACCCGCTCCTGCCTCTGTCCTGGGTCTTTGCTCAGAGACGTTCACCCTCCCCTGCGATCACTCGCTGTGGGCAAGCCTGGGTTTTGCCGGCCACCCTGTACGCTCAGGCCAGGCCTGGAGACCTCCGTGTGCCCAGCTCACGGTGGCACCCACTACACGGTCAGACAGACTGCTGGGCTTGCATCCCTGTCTGCCACCCACCAGCCCCAGACTGCAGGCAAGTCACCCTCTGCTCCCTAATACTTCTCATCTGTAAAAAAAAAAAGGGGGGGTGGTTAGAGTGGCACCTAATACTATTAGGTAATAGAATTAGATGCCAATTACCTAGTAATCATTGTGTTATTGGAGGACTCTGTGATAATGAAAATAAAGGGCCTGGGACGGAATAATTGGGCCCAGGAAACAACGGCTTTTATTAACGTGGAGATTAATGACCAGGTGGCGGATGGATGCTGAGATCTGCTGTATGTTCCGTCTCTGCCTGACCCAGCGGCTCTTCCTTGCCATTCCTATTTCTGTGCCACAAAACAAGCAGAAGCCCGCTTTGCTTCCCTCCTTTCACACTCTTTCACTTGGTTTCCTGGGCCCAACTCCCCCCCTGCACCTGAGTGGGCTTCTGTGCTCCACTTAGTGCAGCTCCCCGACCGGCCTGGGGCCCAGGATCCCCGGGGAGCTTGTTAAAGATACCGGTGCCCGGGCTCCACCTCCTGAACTCAAGGCTCCGGGGCTGAGGCTCAGGCATCTGTATTTCTAACGAGCTCCTGGGGGACTCCAGGTCTCAGCCAGTGTGGAGAGTCACTCACACAGCCTGACCCCCGACCCTGGACAGATTTCTCCAGATACTCCCCCCCGCCCCCCCAGATATTGCCCAAACTTGTCTGTGCCTCTCAGGCCACGATTAAAGCCACACCCTTCCCCACTCAGCTCATCTCTGTCCCTTCTCTGTCCAATAATAATCGGACAATAGTTTACAATAAGTAAAACATATTCTCTGCTGGCTTTGAAAGCTGCCTTCTGTTTGGCATTTGGCTTAAGAACTTTTCTACAGGGGCGGTGACGTTAAAGATCGATGCCGGTGAAAACCATTAGCATCCCACATGCCTTTTCTAAGTCCTGAAAATCTCGGGGGGCCGTGGAGATAGGCCCGTGACTTGGCCTCTTGGCCATTTAGGGACTGAGGAGCCTCGTGACCATGGCGAATTACAAGAGCTCCTGGTGTCTCGTTTTTAAGTAGGGACAAGAATAACTAGAAAGGCCACGGGCTTGGTAAAGAGTCCAGACCAGATTGCCCGAGTTCGATTCCCGCGGTGCCACTTGCTGACCAGGTAACCTTGGGCATGTCACAGGATCTCGGTGTCTGTAACATGACCGTCCTCACCTCCGAGGGTTCTAGCCAGGGCTCCTAAATGCCAGACACTGAGAGCTGTCAGGGTTGCTCTCCTTACCTACCAAATCAGGGGGCTGTAAAGCAGCACACGGAAAATGTGGATGCAGTGCCTGGCTCATGATGAGGCCCCCAGCCAATAGTAGTTGAGTTGACCTCTTGACCTAGAATGGTCTTTCTCTCCCCTTCTGGTTAGTTCCTACTCTTTTGGTCCCAGGTGCAAAGTCACCTCCACCTAGAAGCTAGCCACGGTTTCTCCCTCTCCCCACTTCTTTTCCCCTGAGGTTAGGTGTTTCACCGCTTCCCCTCCCGGCACCTATTTATCTCCGTTGCAATTAACTAGTAATTTGGTGACATGTGGCCTTTAGTTCGATAGAGAAATGGATTCAGATGCTGTCAGAGGCCAGGAGCGGCAGGGAGTACAGCTGCAGATGTGCCACGATGGGGAGTGGGAGGGCCTGTGGACAGCCAGCTGGGAAAGGAAAGCAGTCCGACAGCCAGGAACCATCGCCGGCTACATCTTGGTGGGACTAGGAGCTGGGCTGGCTCTCA